ACATAGCCCTTCCTCCCCACCATCATTGAACGGTACGTACCGCGTTGCCATATGCACGTTATATACTTTGATCGGGAAAAGTTCGACTTCGATAGTTGGCTCCCGTGTACAATACGTGTATCGGTGCGATGTCATGGACATCATTGTTTAGTACAGTAATATAGTGTACATTGTACCCTTGTCACAGTTTCGATCGAAACTCTACGAACCGTCGCGGTACGTCAACAGTTTGCTAAAACGCTATAATTTAAAACATTAATATTTTCTGTTCGCAAAATTCGTATACCGTTTATTATTCACCAAACCCGAAGCATAAACTCTCTACATAGATAATCTACATTGTGATAATGTGCAAAATTATACACATTATATTCGAAAAATCGAATGCGTTATTACTTTTACTTGTATTAGTATTGTATTCCAAAATTAAATATAAAATTTATAAAATTTTAATTTTAATTAAAAATAGAGTATTTAGTTTGAATACACAGATTCGCAAAACAATAATAACACATTATCTGTTTGTAGCAGTACATTTTTATTACTTTAGGAATCACACAAACTTTGAATAATTCAGAAAATATTAGTTTAATAAACTTTGATTGATAATTTAAGTACAAAGTTGATTTCATACGTGTATTTTTATTTGTATAGAAGATTTCGTAATTTGCCTTTATTCGTACATTACAATCAAGTGTCCGAACTTACACATGTATAATAACTTACCTGTAATGTTTTGTGTTGTATCTAACCATTTACAATCGTATATTTTATATGAATATTGCATTGTGTTATGATTTAGTGATTTTACACTGACCTACTAAATACACGTTCTTTAAATATTAATTAATAACACGAATAAAAACTAATCGATATTTATTGTTTACGGGTTAATTTAGAAAATGTTATTATACTTTAACGATTTTCAAAGTATATAGTATGCGTCAAAAGATTTCTTAAGGCGTTTTTAATTACTCTGAATATTTTTATGCTAATGAAAACGCTACTTCCTATCCTAACTCTAAACATAAAATTTTGATTAATATACCTCTTTTAGTCACGCTGCGCAGGTATACCTTGACGATAATTTTGAAAGGTAGAATAATTATCGTCAAGAAAGTTTGGCCGTGCAAAATCGATTACAGTCAATTTTAAATGCTCAAAAAACAAGTAACAACTGAAATCTTTTGAAGATCGTTTTATAAACGACTATTCGAATGAATCGATAAGTAAGTATAATCTTATCCGAATGTTACGCGCAGTGTTGACCTGTAACACACATGGTATCGTATTTATCCTTGACGTTCAATGTTTTCAGATTCACGGATGCCGAAGCCCACGAAATAAATAAACTTGGTGCACTCGAATGCGTGCGTGCTACGCAACACTTTCAACGAGAACAGCAACGCTGACGTTGAACGCTCTTATTTCGAAGTTCGTGCGGTGAAAAGTTCCTGCAGTCCATCATCATGTGTTCGTATACTTTCGTTGAAGAGCTGATATCGAAACGTATTATTATTACGCTTGTGCGGGGTTCGTGTTTTTTTTTCGGTTTTTTTCGTATATTTATTCAATACTCCACAGTTTTACCGAGCCACCCCGGAACCGGCTAATGTAAAATCGGTGTCCCGACGACGGGACGATAACAATAACGCCCGTGGTTCCGCAACGCGTTCGCGCCCGGCGCGAGAAGACCACTCGCGGCCTCGTGCGCGGCGACGTGCGGCGTGCGGCAGCCGCTGGCGCGCGGTAGTAGTGCGCCGCACGCGAACCGGAACCGGAAGTGAGAAGGCAACCAGCTTTACCGCACCATCACCTGACCGAAAAGTATTGTTATTATTGTTATTATTATTATCATCATCATCATCATCATCACCGTCATCATCATCATCATTATTATCATTATTATTATACAGTGACGGCGATGATCGGAGCTTCGGTAAAGTGGTGTACATCGACTAATGGATAACCCCTTCGTCGCCCACGCGACACCTCAACGATTACAGTACGGTGTTCGATGACTGCCACTATACGATATATAATAGTATGTTGTATGCGTATGGCACGTACGGTCGTCGATGGAGGTGGTCACGTGCCTCCACCCTAAAGAATAAATATATATAAAAAAAAAAAAAAAAAACCATCCGTTTCCATTAACAATGGGATAACTATTACGGCGAAAATATAGACGATTGACTTGTATTCGAGCACGCGATTCAATTAATATGTTTCCGATGGTTTCGAATGCGGTACGAAATCAATGTTTCGCGTTTCATAAAACACAATAAACGCATATTGTATCGGTTCGTTTACATTTTTATGGTTGCGTTCGGTTTTAATAAACACATACGCGTACAATATGTATAAAACAATGGTCCACGTGATTTTCTCGAATGAAAATTAATAATACTCGTATCACCAGAACAATCGGAAATAACAGTGTTTTTTTTTCACCAGCAATACGAAAAGCACAAAATGCACATTTCACGTAGACACATGTGGAACATAAAATCGATACGAAATATAAGAATAATAAAAAAAAAAGCACATTTATGTATACGATAAATTATACTAATGTGAGTATCAAAACTTTTGACCCACTTTGTTTATCACTTAAACGAGGAAAACCTGTAAGCAGATGGTGTATGTTAAGCAGAACTGTTTTCAGAATGAAAATGAATTGCTCAACCTAATGAAGAGGTTTTTCTTATTAAAAAAAAAAAAACAACACTCAACAATAGCTTTCTTTAATGAATATTTACTTTCCCCCAGTTTCGCATTCGTTTTATTTAACAGTAAGTTCCTCTAGGTAAGGAATCTAATTAAAACTGCCGGGAAACACTTAAAATTCTAACAATACCTATTGTTCATGGTAGTTTTTGATTTTCGGTAAAATACTAAAGTTACTATTATAAGAAAGTGAGAGAAAAGAAAAATTTAAAATACTTTTTTCTTTACGTTACAAGTCAATAAATATAACCTATCTTTTATCATTTTGCTACGGCATATAAGCGATGTAAAAAAAAACAATCGTATTCATTTGAATAAGAAGCATTTCCAAACCATGGAGTTAAAGCTTAACTAAATATATTTTTTAATTTTACTATCGGTATTCGTTATTTATTATAAGTGTATTACAGACTGAGTGTAAGTGTAACTACGTGTTATGTTCTGTAGACATTATTGCTATAGTGTAACATATTTTCAACTAGTGTATATTATGTGATATTTTCTTGTTTTAAAATGCATTGTCGAGCGTGCAAAGTAAAGATACAAAAAAAAAAACCAACAATCAGCTACATTGAACATTACGCACGGCGTTTATAATAAATCATATTACATTTCACACGGATTATACATTTAGCGTCGAAGAAAAATAATCCAACATAAGTTTGTGAAATGTATGAAAGCCGAAAATTCGAAAAAAACCTCGAACAGGATCTATACATCATGAATGGGGTGTAGTCCCCCCTCCCTGGACACATTAATAAATAGAATTTGTTTGCCGAGCCGTTTACGCGTCCCCGCGTGTATTATTATTGTACGCGGGGTGCGCACACGGGGATGTGCGAGCGCGGAGTCATATTGACACTAGTTCGGTAACCGCACGCGATTAAACGCCTCCGAGCAAAGGTGTCTCGTTGTTCATGGTATAATGCACGACGTACGTACGTACGTACGAATACATAACTAAATACGCGAATCCCGATATTTTTTTTTCTAGCCTCGTTCGACGCGCGGGAATCAATGGAAATTCGACGATAAATCAAACGCGATAACACTATGCCCCGTCTGCAGTCCGATACATGCATAGTTATCGAATGTATTTGTACAATGCATTTTTGTCGTACGTGCATCAGAAAAAAATGTTAGCACCCGTGATCGTCTACGAAATACGATGAAAACAACTTTGGCACCGCGAGCGGCACATAATATCTATCGCGCACACGTTACTAACCGTACGCCGTTAAACGCGTTTAAAGTGCGATAATTAAACGCGCGCGACGTTGTTGTTTAAACGATCGTCCGAGGGCGACGTTTCGGTTATCGTCATACCGATTATAGCGTTTCACCGGTCATCGAATTTACGGTTTTAAACCGCATACCGTATTTAGTGCGCTGCAGCCGACGTCTACCGGGTGTTTGCCGTCCGCTGTTGGTGTAACGATCGCTCGGACGAGTCTTCCTACAAAAATCGTACAGTTATTACCGTCGTCCAACGGTTGTTGTACCTATGTACGTGAGATTATACTTGATCCCTAGCCAAATGACTGACGTGAGTCATGTTACAAATTGTAATTTAAAAAAAAAAATCGATTTTAAAGAGCATACTACATTTAATACATGATTATTGCAGGTTTTTTTTTTTTTTTATAGTTTTTCGGTGCATTTACATCCCAAGTCATTATCGATGCTGTCGTATAACTTTTGTTGACCTTTCGAAAACTGCAGTGGCAGCACAGGCGTTTGGCACTCTAGGCTGCCACCGTAGTCATGCATATGCTGAATCCCGCACACTTAAGATGATAATCTGGTTTGAGTGCGCACGCTCCGTATTTTATATACGTATACTGTACTTGGTATTGTTTTGAAAATTATATGACTAAGAATGATTTGAGGAATAATCTGTGCGGCGGTCGATACGGACACCCATTACGATTCCCCGATGAGCGCTTGTTTATCATTCATAGCCTATAATTAATAACGAGGGCGTTTCTATCGTACGTTGTGTCTGCGTGTGCAGAATTTGAGTGCACTTCGTAGACCTATATTTCAAACCATACGGGTTTTGGCCGACAGTAGCGTCGGTGACAACAACCTTCGTCAAAATTGTTTCGGGCAGAAGAAAATATGCGATGTTTATCGAATATTTGTATCGAGTTCTGTCTCTCGTCTGATTTCGACCAATATTCTCCGATGAAACAAAGCAGTAAACGTTTGGAGGCTAACATGGTTGTACATAATTCGCGGGATGACCGACGTACAACGAAAGTATTTACCGAGCACGGTAGCAGTTAACCACGATGGTTCAAACTCATTTCCACACGGCATAATATTATGTCACACTTCGGATTGATATCGATAAACCCAAAAAAAACCGTTCTAAAATAACATCCGCCACTACGGAAACCGACGGCGACTATGCGATCAATCTCAATCTATGATTAATAGAAGAGCCGTGTAAATTAAAAACAACAAAGATAATAATATCGTATTGTCGCGTGTTAGGGATTTTATTTCTTACGGGTGGGGTTGGGGGGGCGTAGATCTTGTATTTTATACGTACAAACAGAAAACAACGATATAGCGTTTATACTATACACAACAGAACAATATAATGCGCGCGGGTTCGTCGCGGAAAATGTGCGTGTGCAAGTGATCAAGTCAGGGCAGAGTTGCAGCAGGATGTACCCGGTAGGGGGTGATCTGGGTTTAGAGAATTCTCCAGCGGTTGGCGCGGCACTAATAAAACATGTAATGATCCTGTCGCCGACGCCGTCGTCTCTCGCCCAAAAGTCAAACCCTTTCCGTCATCTTTCTCGTCTTCCTCCCCTTCTCCACCCGCTCGGGCACCGACAGAACGCCTCCCCATCCACGTGTTAACGCGCTCCCGTTTCGCACCGCCGCCGCTGCCGTTATTTATCCCGAAACCGTCAATCTCTTTTTGAATTTCTTTTGCTCTGTCTCTCTCTCTCTTTCTTTCTAGTCTCTGCAGCAGCCCGTGCACGTACAACAACAGATTAACGTCGTCATACAATGGATTCACGCGTACATTGTAGTACATAATGTGTATGCATATTATATGAGTTTCTTTTACTATTCTCCAGAGACATAAAACGCGTCGATTTTCGATTTACAACCTAACCACACGTTTTCGATAAAAAACGGATGGTATGCCGTTGACTCTAAATTTTTCAACTAGTAAATTTATTTATTTTATTCGTATAACAACCAAATTTCTTGCCTCCCGTTTTCAACCAAATTCAACATTCCCATCTAAATTTTATACATTAATACCATGATGTCTGTTTTCGAATCTACCTTTCGAAACTAAACGATCGATTTTATAGCAATAATAGTTCTCCTAGGTAACTTTTGGTTTATATGTCTCATACCTAATGATTTCCTCCTCGAAAAAAACAAACTTGACTGCTGTTAGTAAATATACCACAAATTCCTATAAATACAATAAAAACAATTCAGAATATTTAATTTACTATTTTAGTTTCTAATTTTAAACTATTTCATCAATACATTTAAGTTTATATTGTTAATGTTGCATTAAACAAATTAATAATTATTAAACGTGACGCAGAAAGAAATTAACAAGCCAAAATAGTGTTTGTCTTGACGATTTCTTTTACCTGTATTTTATGTATTTTGTTTTTATTTTATTCCATCACACATGATTATTATTATGTATACATATAATATTATTGTTACTAAGTCATTATAAAATATACTCTTTCAATACAATATTATGAAATATAATATCATCTTTCTTCTTTTTGATACACAACCCTTAAGGTTGGTTTTGCAAATGGATCGCTTTATGGATCGCTTTCCACTCTTCTCTGTTCCCAGTTAGCATTTTCAGTTCAGTGTAACTTGTTAGTCTAGCCTCGGAGATAATTTGTTTGACAAATGAAGTTCTCGGACATCCTCGGTCCCCCTTTTACCTTCAATTATCCCTTCTATTATTCTATGGGTTAGTTCATTTTCGTGTCTCAATATATGACCCATCATGTTCTATCATCTTGTTCTGATGGCTTGAGTATCTCTCTTCGTTGCACTATTTCATTGAAAATGTTTTCAATGATACGGTGCTCTATCCAATTCACTCTCAGCATCCTTATCCAACACCATATTTCGAAGCTTTTGATTGTTCGTTGTTCTGTCATATTTAATATCCATGTTTCGCAACCATAGAGTGCTACACTCCGTACATATACTTTTATGAAACGTTTTCTCATCTTAATATTCATATTATTGGAGCACAGCAATTTTTTCTTTTTCATAAGTACTGATTTTATCTGTACGATTCTGGATCCTTTTTCTATGATGCATCTTCCGTCTTGGTTGATTATATTACCTAGGTATTTATAATGTTTTACTTGTTCAAGCAGCTTGTTGTCTGTTTGGATATTTATTCTACGGATTCGTTCTTCTTTTTGGTCTTGTCTGACACCTTTCCTAATTATCAGTGTCTCATTTTCGTCCATTATTGTAGCTGATTGATTTTTGTATAAATTATATATTATTATGATTATATTATACATACAATAATTATTAATTTACATTACTAATATATTTTTAAAAATATTATATAAATTTAATAAGACATTAATATGTTAAATTATTTACTCAGTGAAATGGCTGCAACTTGTTTGCGCACAATTCATAATTTTTACCTAAAAAATCGAAACTCGTTTGCGCACACGGTTCTTTTAAATGTACAACTGGTTTGCGCACACGAAAATAATTATAATTTTGTCACTCTTGTATCGGCTAGTTGCGCGGTATAAAACCCGGTGTATGTTATCGGCCTTATCGTGGTTTACGACTATCATAGTGTAATACAAACGATTCAAAATTTAATCCTATGTTATGGATAGGATATCCAAAAGACGAAACTCGAACTACAAATGGTGTAGAAGCATTTCATAGACATTTTAACTAACAATTTTATACTCCACATCCCCACATACATCAGGTAATAAGCGTAATTCTTAAAATACAAAGGGAAATAGAATTAAAAATAACATCAACCAACAAAAATATAAATAACTATCGCTGTAAGGAGTCAATAGAATCAGTTAAACATCGCATAAACTTATGGACAAAATATACATCTGGCGAAATAGACCAAATTAAATACATTCAAATAATGGGAAACTTTTATTGCAAAAAATAATAGACACGTATATATTATCCTATACGTGTATATACCAATCATATTATATTAAAATTAAAATTAACATGCATTTTTAACTTGAACAAGTATTAGATATTATTTATTACAATTATTAATAAGCAATTAACATACATTTTTAACCACACCAATGAATACATTCATAGGCAGTCCTAAGTCTGTTAAGGAAGAGGATAACGTATGTAAGTACTTTAATAATAAAGAAATATTAATATGCAAGGTATTAAACTATTTAAGTCTAAAAGGTAACTGTGCGCAAACCATGTGTATGATTACGACTCGACTGTTCCCAAACGAGTGGTAGTTTTTGCCCAAACAATTTGTCTTTTTGGTATTTGTGCGCAAACCAGTACCGCCCAGTGAAATAATATTGTGTAGCAAATATTTTATTTTTAACGATCAAGATATACAGAAATAAACAAATAGTTTATACATAGAAATAAGTAAATAAATAAATTCTTAGCCTGGAATATTATAATACGAGTAAATGTAAAGTACGATCGGTTATGAATTAAAAATTCATCAGCAAAGTCAGTAAAATTACGACTTATTTATTTTTCTACAAAAACTATTTATTTATTTATATATTAATTTACAAATATTAACCATTTGCTAATTGTTTTTATTTTTATTTTAATAATCTATGATAATTCGAATAAATCGGAATATTGAAATAATTGACTGTTGTAACAATATACATTTTTCATTATCAATTTATAAAGCAGAATGAACGTTGCCAATATTGTTTGAGTACAATGTGCTTTTAATATTGACTACGTATTCAACCCTTCAGAACCAAATTAGCCGGTCTCGATTAACAATGCACACCTTTAACATCTGCCTTAAATCCGATGAATCATCAGTTAAATTGTTGTTTCGCAGGTGGCTTTTAACAAATTATAGTAATAAACACTACACGTTACGGTTAATCGCATGATTTGTTTTTACATTGATTAAATCGTCTGCGATGTAACTATGATATCCACCAACTAATGAAATAAAAGCATTTATTTATTACATTAGGCTATAAGAGATGTACCTATATGGTTGAAAACGTTTTGACTAGTGATTAATGACCGTTCGTAGAGGATAGTCAGAAACCATTAATTAACTGTAAATTATGTATGATGTAAATTTTGAAGCGAGTTTTGCTTTAATCTCATGCAATCATAAAATGTTTTCAGTGTGTACAAATCTATGGTAATTACTTACAAATTCAGACAATATTTTTCGGAAACTCATCACTCAGTTGGTTTCTATTACATACGAGTATACTAACCTAACCCGATTCTACTCTATACGTACACCCACGCATACAAATCCATATTATAACATAATAACCTCTTAAACTATATTGACTTGGAGTGAAATATTTATTGAATAATATTTAACGACCAATAATTTTATTTATACCATGAAGTATGGAGTATATGGAAAATATCAAATATATTTTATGATCAAAAATATCAGTAATTTATAACCTTTACACTGTTATTACTTTTTCGAAATTTAATTTAATTTTCCTAGCGCTGTAATCATTTGATTTCTCCTTTATAGCATTAACATTTGATTTAAGTATAGAGTTAAACAGTTTCAATAAATAAAAGAACATTTTTTCTTCGAGTGTTTTCATAAATCGTTAATTGATTCTCTGGTAACGTAGTTATTCAAATAACACCGAAATACAAAGGAGTAAATAAATTATGTTACATTCGTATCGATAACAATTAATGCATTAGCATTGGATATAAACAAAGTGATTTATTCAATAAGCTCTGTGTGTTTAAGCCTCGTCGAATCATTCGAGAGGAAAAAAAGAGACGTATTTAACACGACGTCACGGTAAATAAAAACTAATTACAGCGTATGCGCGGTATATATTATACAAATACGATCGTTAGCAGTCTCCCCTTCAAAACTGCGTGAGCGCGATCGTGGGCGAACATTCGAAAAAATAAACAATTCAGGAACCTTTGGATCTCGTTGTTTTTTTTTTTTACTCTTTCCATATTGTACACTCGTCTTCCGGCCGTCGTCGTAGTATCTAATACGTTTACAGCCGTCTGTGAAAGGGAAAAACACTGGTTAATAACGAAGGTCTTACACACGAAACGAGGGT